GACGTCGAAGACCCAGCGGTTCTTAATGACCTTTCGGTCTGCTGGATGATCCATGAGTTCAAAAGTACCACGCCGTTTGAGCGCTTCAAGCTCTTCTTGGCAGGCCTTAAGCCATTCCTCACGCTCAGCCTTAGGTAGGTGAGTAATGTCCTTGTAAGTCCATTCATGGACGTTCTCAGAGCTTTTCAGCTCCCCCTTAAAGGGAACGGCCTTAGCCATGAGAAAATATATTAATTCAGCTCCCCCTTCCCGATATAGTCTGATCAGGGTATTAGCTTCGTCACTGGGAGTGACAGAGGGTTGTTCTCCATTTTCAGGAGTAGGATGCTCAGTACTAGGTCCGGGAACCTGTTCTGGCTCAGGGTGTTCTTGCTCAGCCGAGGAGCTACCTGGCTGTGGAGCTTTAGCGTGTCTCTGAATATCCCCCTTTGGTCTCTCTACCTGTTGCTCCGTAGGAAGCTTAGTGCTGCTTCTAGGATCACCGGTAAGACGAGTAGGTGGTCTCCGCACACGACCTGAACGTCTCAACTGTTCTTCAGCAGGAGGTTGTTCATTCCGGGGTTGTGGCGGCGGACTAGGATCTCGTGCTGGCTGTTCAGCTGGCACAGGCGGTGCAATGTCTTGCTCCGGATCCTGTCTCCTTTGGGGAGTATTAGGTTGATGAAAGATGGGAACATCATCATCACCAGGTGGAGGAATTGGATCTTTAGGATCTGAGTTGCGATCTGGTAGTCGCGTAGAGCAATGACGCTCTGAGGATTTACAACAAGGAAATAATTTCTCATCAAACACAGCGTGCGTAGCAGTGAACATGGCATTGTTTGACCGCATGTAGATATTTCCATGTCCACCGTCAGAAACTCCAAGATATGACATTAGTTCTGACCTAGGCGATTGTTTGTTTGTCCGTACTTCTTCATGAAGATAGACATACGCGCCACAGCCAAAGACACGCAAGTGATCTATGCGCGGAACTTTGTTGTACAAAATCTCATATGGTGTCTTCCATTTGTGACGATGCATAGGAGTGCGGTTATACACATGCACAGCGTGTGCAACAGAGAATTCCCACCAGGAATTAGGAATACAGGCTTGAAAGTGCTGTGGTTCACTTTTCTCAATAATAGTCCGGATAAACCTTTCGGCTCTTCCGTTCTGCTGGTGGATATGAGGAGATGACTATTGTGCTTTGATACCTTCGTTCTTAAAGAACTCATCAAGTGCATTGGATCTAAATTCTCCGCCACCATCAGACATCCATTCCTTGACGTTGGTCTCATATAGATTTTTGACTGTGGCAATAAATTGCTTTATCACCGGAACAGATCCGCTCTTCTTTTTTAAGTGGCAGTAGAACCCATGCGAAGTATAGTCATCTATGAAGAAAATTGTATACTTGTACTTGTGGTATGAAATGGTAGGCCATTCTTTCAGGTCTGAGTGAATAATTTCGAAGGGACGTGATGCCCGACGATTAGTTGGCGGAAATGGACGTAAAGTCATCTTTCCCTTGGCACAACCTTCACAGAGATCTTCCTCATGGGGAATGCTAAAGGTGAGAACACCTTCTGCATGTTTCCTCAGTTGAGTGAGTGCTTCGCGCGATGGATGACCCATACGGCGATGCATGGTAGTGTAGTCCACTGAGTGGATCACTAGATTTACAGCCATAGGCTGTGGCGAATAATCTTTGAGAATGTAGATTGTATCGCTGTGAGTTCTTGGTTCAAATGACAAGAATAAACCGTCGTTGTCCCAGAAGTCAACTTTGTCTGCATTGCCGCGAACAGTTTTGCCATCTTGTAGGAAGTGTCCTTGTGCTATAAGGCGATGACTCAACTCCTTCATATAGAATACTGGAGCGATTCGTGCCGAATGCATGCGACCTCTTACATCTTTAAATTGTATCAAGACGGTTCCAACGCTAGTAATGTAGGCAGTTGTAGTTGCAGTTGCTATGAGCAGTTTTTCCTCAAGGTCTTCATACTCAATGAAGTCACTCAAGTCAAAGGTAGTGTGTTCAGAACAACCAAAGTCGTTCATCCACCATTTGGGTTGATTTCTCTGTTTACCCTTACACTTCTTGCACACAGAGTATGAAACGTCATGTACACAAAAATGTTCATTGGATATATACTTGGCATCGATACGGTAATTGTACAAACGGGACAAGAGATCAGGCTCAAAGGCCGACTTGCATGTCTTCGCCACTGCAACCGATGAAGGTGCGTTAGTACATTTTGTATGATCAAGATCAGAGGAGGGTACTGACCCCATGGTGTCCATGAATCCAGTGATTGCCAAAATCTCACGATCCAAGTCGAAGTTCATCAACTCATCAGGATCAAAAGAGGCAGTTCCTGGGACTTCAAAGTCCATAGGAGGAGATGGAGGAGGCAGCGTAGAAGCCTTACTGCCATTCTCAACATCATCCATAGGGGACATTGCACGAGTGCGCTTTGTCGGAGGATCAAGTTCATCATCACTGTCAAACTCCGAAATATGCCCAGTTGGCTCAAGGGTGTGAATGACTTCAGCAGTCGCACGGACGCCAATGTTACGAGCACGATTGATGGCCATCCTTGTCTTCTTATGAAGACGAAGGGAGGTAGCATTTGGAGGAGGATTGTAAGGAGGAGGATTGTAAGGAGGGTGGATGGAGTGCTTGCGCACATCCTGAACAGAAGGAGTAAGATCAGTACGTACCGGACCAAAGTCAACAGTACTGCCAATCGGACTGAAGATCATAGAGTCTACATCAGTTTGGGCAGCATTTGCATTCTTCTTAGCCTTCTTGTTCTTTCCATTGCCATGCTTATGCTTCTTCTTGTTGGAGTCATTGTTCCCATTCTGTCCCTTCTGCTGCTGGTTACTACCGTTACCATGCTGCTGTTGGGAGAACTTGGGATCGTTTCCCTTGCAATGAACATTCAAAAACTTGTTTGCATTTTGCGGTTGGGAGTTGCCAATGGTGTCTCCGCTGAAAGCGTTCATAACTGCAATACGAACTTTGATAAGCGTCAATTTCTTGAGCTCCTCAGTGCCGAGTTGAGACATGGTCTGGACAACGACAGAATAGCGTGATGGAAGCTTAGATAGAAGAATCAGAGCTTCAAGGTGGGCAGGGATGCCAATGTCAGCATCATCCATACGGGAGAAGAACATGCCAATGTCAGTCATAGCTGTGAGTGGGTTTCCCTTGTATGGGACCTTGACAGCCATGGCGGCAGCAAAGTCGTTAAAGACTGTGCCTAGACCTTTGACCTTGTAGGTTTCCTGCAAGAATTCCCACAGCTCCTTAGCCATGTTACCTTGATCCTTAGCAAGGGTGTGGATTGACGGAGAAAGGCGGAGGCAGATGTTGCCAACAGCCTTGCTATCAATCTCCTTCCAGGATTTGAGGAAATCGTCATATTCCTTCCAGGCTTTGACACTGTCAAGGTCTTCCGTATCAAGTGGAGACGGCTCGACAGGCGGGTCAGAGGTAATAGCTGATCCAAGCCCTGTGGCTTGAAGAAAGGCCTCCATTTCAGGGGTCCAGGTGTCGTAGTTATCACCTTTAAGAGTGGTGGTAACAGCAGTAAAAAGTGCAGAAGACATTGTAATCTGGATAAAATCAACAGAAAATGTCAGCATGCAATTCATAAACGCTCAAGACAACAGATGGGAACAAAATGGCATGAATGTTATTGCCAGTAGTGACAAGCTGTGACATATGTCTAGCAAGCTGTCATCTACAGTGTCAAGCACTCTTGGGCGATGTCATAATCAGCACTGTTAAGTGCGATATTGACTTCAGCACCAGAGGCGACGGTAAAGGTCTGTGTCAGAGACAGCAATCAAATAGATGTGTCAATGACAACAGTAGACCAGAGAGTGCTGCGAGCTTAGAGCTCAGCAAAGTGTTCATCCGGGGCCCATAACCTGTTGAGCAGGCAAGGGGTGCATAGTGGGACACTCTCCAGCACCATACCTGGGTAGTAGAGCTTAGAGTCTCAGAGAGGCAATAAGAGTGAGAGAGAAGCGAGTTGGATTCCATCCAGTACAGGATATGGCCTGTTTATATACATAACTGTATGACAGTATTACATAAGGAAGTACAGAGGAATCCGCATATAGTAAATAACTAGATATGATTAGATATGACATATCATAACACATGATCATAACAGTGGCATGTGAACAGCATAGCCGCGTTCAACACTCTAATTAATAGCAAGTCTCTAACTTTCCATTTTAGAAGATATACATTGCCTTACTACAAATATGGTGTACCTGGAAGTTCTTCTAGATAGGAAAAGTATGTTTACAATGAAAATAGCTCAGAATACTGCATGATAAATTTGAAAGTATGGAGGTGCAAGGTGCCGACTAAAGGGGGTTTGGGGGCTTGCCCCCAACAAGCTGTGAACCCTGCTGTAGCACACGGTGCGAGCAAAGCGAGCCACCGTGGCGAAGGCACGGGTTCTAAAGCTTGTTATGTGTATTATATCGTGTTTGGTAATGAGCTGGCGATTTTGCCGCTTATGTAATATTCCCACGCTAGTGCGCAGGTAAGTGACGTGCACCATAACGGATTTGCGAGTTGATGATTTTCGGCAAACTTTTATTCCGCTTCTAAAAAGTAAGAACAAGAAGCAAAAAAACCAATTGCTCCCTGCAAGTCTCGAACTTGCGACCTCCAGATTTCGCAGTATGCCACTGCTCATAATCAGCTATGAGACTGGCGCTCTACCGACTGAGCTAAGGAAGCGTTATTTCAGGCTTTATCATTTGTGAAGTTAATAGTCCCAAACCTCGACTGCCTTCCAGTTTATGATTGCAAAAAGATCTGACACACACATTCATTGGTTTTCGGGAGCTACATCCTTCACCACGCCGGTGCACTGTACTCAAAACCATTGACCCACATTCTAAGCCTTTCTTTCTCCTTGGTATATGGAAGAAATTATGCACAGTGTATTTACAGTGTGATTGATTGTCCTTTTAGAATCTTGACCTCAGAATCCCGTCGCCACCCAATATCTAATCCATTTCTGGATGATGGCAGCATCCAAGGATTTGAGGCTCCTCATACTTTCACTGAGCCTCTCGACGTTCCTCGTACTCAGCTGGGTAAGACCAGCGCTTTCCATTGCACTTCGGTTGGACTGTCTGAGTGCGTCGTCTATAGCGGCTTGTTGTGTATAGAACTCGAGTAATTTGACAGCGGGCTAAAAGGACAAATATTAGGGGGGTATACGATTTATCTCTAAAAAAGGCACTGACGATATTCTGAGTGTCTGCTTCCGTTGGATTCTTTGCATACTTTAGAACTGCGGCAACCCAATCATGATAGGGTACTAGTGGAAGCGCATCGGGCGAAAGATGTTTTTGTTCAATGAGTGCAGCCCGAACGTTCTGAAACACACAAGTCCAGGAAACTGATTTCGGGTGCACAATATTCACGGCCATGGGCGCTGTCTCAGAAGTAAACCCAACGTCGAGAATGGCATTGCAGACGGCGTCCATTGGGACCCATGAGACCACCTATTCATCTGAGAGTAAGCGCTTTTCACGTCCTTCGACTACAGCTAGTAAGTGTCAACACGTACCCCAAAGGCATCGGGAAGAACACCTAAGCTAAGGCTTGATTTCACGATAATGGGGACCCAGTCTGTGATCGCCCAAGCTCCATTCGGTGCGCCACCGGTTACCTGTCCAATCCTGAACGAAGTTGCTTGAAGACCACTCTTTGCAAGTATCTGCCATAAATTACGAGATCAGTTTAAGGTAGAGTACTTTCTAAAATTCAATCCACTAACCCGTTCGGTGACATATTTACTCTCTCCGTAGCCACCTCCGACAGCATACTTGGCATCCATTACAACCTCTTCAGGATACGGGCCTAGGGATTGGGCGTCCCATGACTGGGTTGAAGCAATCGACGAGGTGAACAAGAATCTAATTGAATAGGAATGGCGGCTGGAGCGACCAAGGTCCATTAAAACTCGGGAGCCTTTCACATGCGCCTCAAAAGATGCCAGTGAAAGATTGAAGTCGAGCCTCCAGGCATTATGCATAATCAAAGTCAGGTTTTGGCGGAGCTATGAGGTTTGATGTTAATCAAAAATCAAACATTATCGTATGAATGCTCACCTCCCCCAAGACACCCTCAGGCAACCCAAGGTCACCGTGCGAAGTCTCCCCAGACAAGAAGACCAGCTTGGGTGATGACAACAGAGATATATCGAGAGCCTTATCTTCGAACCGGGCGCGATGCCTTTCATACATCGACGCTCTAGTAGATGGTCTATTTAGAGCATAAACACGGACTACGGAGTCTTTCAAAAGCAGAGACTCGAGTAGCTGTGCGCCAATATTCCCAGTAGATCCTGTGAGTAACACGTAGTGTTGAGTTGGATTTATGGAAGTGGCGGGCTGTGGAAGTGGCACATCCAAGCCTTGCGAGTATTTGGAGATCATATCCTCCATTAGTTCTTCATGGGTCTTTTCCCTCTTTGTCTGGTCATGAGGATTGACAATGATACTGACGATGGCATCTGTAAGCTGAGATATCGTCGGATAACTGTAAACAATGTTCTGGGTAATTGTAGCCGCAAGTGATGCGAATCCAAATTTGCGAAGAGCACTGACGAGACGAAGACGAAGTATAGTGGAAGAGAGACTATAAAAATAATTCAGTATATTTCCGAGCAGTACTGGTAATGTTTCAACCGATCACCTATCGACTCCTTGTTCGAATAGATCTGCAGTGACAGAAGGGGCCTCGGTCGAAAGAATGTCCGAAATTTGGTTAATAAGCCAACTCTCTATATCAGATGCATTCCAGCTTCTTGGTGGCTCGATAGAGTCGCCCCCAGAGTTTGATTCAACGGCATCGTATCTGCAAAGCGGCTCAGTATCAAATACGATGAATCAGCATTTGACCTACAACTTGTTGATCTCGGCCTCGTATAGTGTCAGCGCCGCCTTTTTAGCAACAGTGCCTTTTCCTACACGAGGCAGAGGTTTATCAGGATTGACGACGAGGATCATCTCTTTGAAGATTCGACTAAAGGAAGGAGCAATCTTGTTCCCCTCTTCGATCGCCGGCCTGTCTCAGTGGTTGATTGAAGATATAGAATATATGACGGAAGATAACAATTCCTCACCAGACGAGATTTCTGAACTTCGATATCTCATCATCGTTTTTCACATCGATTGAGTAGCCTGGTATAGGCTCCAGCATGATTCCTGGTTGATCACGCTGCCTGCCAAACATAACAACTCCATTGACTCTAAGATGATGTCGTGCGATGCATTGATGAGGGAAATGTAAAAGGAAGAGTCAATGTGCATACTTACAAGGGACTCGCGGAGACAATGGTTTCGATTGGTGCCGGGACTGTTTTTTCACCATTTGAATGGATTATAACATCGTCGATGCGCCCAACAATTTTCCAAAGGTTCGGAATAGTGGGATGAGGTTTAAACAAATCGGAGGTGGCGTAGCCACGAACGTCTGCAAGATTCTCCACAGCGACATGGTGCGACTTGGACGTCTGATCGAGAGGATAGCCTCGTGAAGACAGATCCCTGTAAGTCGAGCAACTAAGAGGACATACCAAGAACTGAGCCTCATATGTGCCATCCCCTTGAGGTACCCATCGGATATTTGTTCCGTCTCTGAACTCAAAATACTGCCATGTATCAGCATTATCAACACGAAATTCCGATACCACGCCAAATTCAGTGCCCCCTGGACAGAGGCATACGGTTGGCATATGTATAACCGAAGACGATAACAAGCTAAGTACGTACCAAATCCTGCGCTTACTGGTACTCCTCTGACAATAAGAGACTCGGCGACACGTGGGGCGATAGGCCCTCCACCGAAGCTCTTTATGAAGGTGAGTACTAGTGAAGATGAATTTTCAAAAGACCGACCAGGCTGCGCATCGTTCGGAAGAATTCCACGGCATCATCTGATTGTGCCCAACTGTTGAAAAAGGTAGGTGGAGTGATCATGCAGGTAGGTTTGACTACTTTTGCTGCTTCTAGAACGGTTTCTGCCGTGCCAGCAACAGGTACGGCGTCGGCCTTTGTCACTGTAGGCGCAAAGACTCCGGTTGTAATAAGACCGTACAAAGGGAACAAAATTTGGAAGCAAAAGCCCATCATATGAAATGTTGGGAGGCCAAACGTGCCATTTAGTGGGTTGTGAGAGACCTCGCGCATCTTGCGAATGTACACTGAAATGACAATGAGTTTACGACAATAAAATCTTGAAAGTACCCACATAGAGAAGCATCGTCTTTGATTATTTGGTGGGTAAAAAGGATGGGTTTTGGGAATCCAGTCGAGCCCGAAGAATGTAGGTATAAGCCTTTGTCTGAATCTTTGGGAGAGAATACTGGATTGATAGGTGTAAAAGGATCTCCCGCTACTTCTCGTCCAAGATGGGGATACGCATCCTGTAATGAAGGCACTTCTTCGATGCTAAGCTCATAGGTCGGATCAACCATGTGAAGTTCAGCTTTAAGGCCTTCTACGACACCTCGGAGAGTGATTTGTGTCATGAGGATTCGGTGTGTGCATGTCTTTCGAAGCAGGTGGAGAAGTGCAGCAGATGAATTTCGTGGAGATATAGGGAACGGCTGAACGGATTTCAATAAGTATCAGGAGATTTTTGAATCGGTGGAACCTTACCACAAGGCCGGCCTTCATGATACCAGTGATGAGAGCAGTATATAAAATAGCGTCCGCGTTAGCTACAATCGCTATAATATCGCCAGGTTCGGAATTTCCGCGAACAATATTCCCGACGCGATGAGCGGCGCGAACGAACTCTCGCGCTTTAATTTCTGTGGTGGAAGAATCAGCATTCGGATACACGTAAAGCGGAAAGTCGGGATTATGTTCGAGGTTGAAGTCGAGCAAATCAGGCAGGTTTAACTGCGACTCGTCTCCCAGGGCTGGAAAGAGAGGTGCGGTTTTAAGAACGGGAGACATTGTTCGAGATGGAGTGTCAAGATGTGTCCGGTGTCAGTGAAAGACGTATGTTTTCTGAAGTTAACGTTTGGAAAATCCCCAGGGCAGAAGAGGCTTTTATCTCGTCTAATGGTCCTTATTGAGCCAAGGCCCTACGCAGACGCACGATCCACATGATAAGACTACCACGAGAACGCCGGTATCCAGATAAAATATACTTGAACTCAAACCTTGTCCGCGCGTTCGGACCTCGGGCATAGCCATGGGTCATCAAGTCTCTTTTCATCATACGCCGAAGATCAGGCGTCGAAATGAAATACCACAAACGACAAACAGTGGATTATCCTTCAGACCTGTTCCAGAATTAGAGCCTGCAGAGAATTACATACAGTCCGCTGTTGGCGGCAAACTCCTGTGTTCTGCCTCCCAGCTAGGTGCTCGAGAGAATATGGGGATGATTGGGGCCCGGAACATGTGAGATGGTGAGATTACAATCGTTTCTCGCTTGACTGTGGGTACTGAGTGCTTATGGTTATATACGAGCTCATAAGCCGTGATCCCTGCAGTGACCAAAAGCAATGGTGGTAAGCAGATATGCGAAGTGTGAATCTGTTTGCTTGCATTCATTATGATTTAATATCTTTTTGAAAGTCGTATATGAATACGAACCTGTAGTTGACTGCACTGTGTGAGAATGAGTGTGTGAGAATGAGTTGGAACTGGAGCGCCCCGAGCTCGAGTGGCCTTGCTTAGACTCATATCGCCGTCGCTTCAATCATTCTTCTTTGGGGATGCGCAAAGTGACAATGATAATGTTGAGGCTCATTAATGCATTGTTGAGGTAAACGCGGGCCACGTGGCTTTGAATAAAGTTGGCTACTCCCAACAAGCATGCACCGAAAATTCGTAGTCGTTATTATGTATATACCAGTACGATTGGAAACTTCTCGGAAGATCTATGAGCCCTAGCTCTTCGCACAGTGCTAATCTAGTTTTTCTCTTTTTTGGGCTTCTTTCTCGGTCTTGTTTCTTCCCCACCTCCGTTACTAATTCCACGACGCTTATTGGCTACCCTCTGTAGTGCTCTCTTTGTCTCTCCCTCTGGAAACGAAGCCAAATCAAAGTATACAGGTGCATATTCCAGGAGCCATTCAGGTTTAACTTCCGTGACTGTCCTGATATATGGCCGTTTTGTCAAGACAAACTCATTGAACAAAACCCATTCAGGTTGTGAATCGAGGCCGCAGGAAGGATGAAGAGCGACGACCTAGAAGAAAGTCAACATCAGACAACGAATGAGTTAGAGTACCATTTACCTGATTGTCCTTGACCGTCAGATAACTGCCCTTTTCTCCCTCCTTATGTGCGACATGCATGAAAAATCCACAAGTCAGTGCTTGTCGTATCCCTATCGTAGCAAAAAGAATAAGGCAAACAGTTACATTTATGAGCTGGGTAGACCGAGACTGACCTAGGTTCCGCTTTTTTTCATCTTCCAAGCTTATGACATCTATGTCGTACTTTTCCATCGTCCTCAACAGTTGCGCGCGGACATTTTCCGCCTGCGCAAGGGCACGAGCCGACAAAAAGTTGTTCCATGCCCAGTTACGATCGTGTTTATCTGTTGACAGTCATGAATTGAATTTCCATCTATACTGAAATCGAGATACCCACTCTGCGAATAATTGTTGAACACGTTCAACATCGTCAAATGGTCGCCCTCGGGGACAGTGAGCATGGCTTTCGCTTGGTCCGCAGCGGCTCGTTGATTTGGTGGCCGAAGCCAAACATTCGGAACTGAGGAATGTAGCGAAGTTAGAAAAATAACGATGTTAACGTACGAGATTATAACTGACTGCTCAGCATCGCCGTTATCGTTAGTATCTCGTTGGAGACTTTGAACTCCGGCGAGACGATCAGCATCTTGGCGAGCTAGAAGAGGGGTAAGTAGAATTCGATAGATGACTAGGGCGAGGCGATGGATTCACCTGAGGATCTAGTGGGAACTCTGCCATCACTCCTCCTAATGCCGTTAGTTCACCTTCGTCGTCCAGCGCAGCAAGATAATTGAGAAGTTCCAATGCACGCATGAGGGTTTCCGGTGCTGGGGCATCGAGGTAGTCGAATCGGACAAGATCCTGTTGTAAGGTCAGTGAGAAAAAGCTCTAAGGAGTGTCCGGAACCACCTTGATCCCCAATTTGGCCAATTCCAGCACTGCATTAGCGAGATTTGACCGCAAGATTTCCGGGTGGGTCTGCTCTTCGAGTTCGGATATGAAATCCTTTTCAGTATACAGCCTGCGATGAAGACGGACGGAAGTTAGACAAGCAAGTGAATATCTCAAAGAATCACTGACCTAAAGCATTTCCCTGGCCTAGTACGCCCTGCACGACCGGCCCTCTGCTGAGCGGATGCTTTTGATATCGGTGATACGAGTAATGACTCAACTCGAATTCTTGGGTTGTAGACCTTTTGTTTTGAGAAGCCTGGATCGACGACGTATACAATACCATCGATCGTGAGTGAAGTCTCGGCGATATTTGTTGACACGACGACCTTCCGGCCTGGTGGATATCCTTCCTGCGAGGGTTTCGGTGCAGCGTCGAATATACGTTGTTGCTGTTGTGGGGGAAGGGAGGAATATAATGGTACACACATGAGCGGGCCTACACTCGAAGGATCTGTGTTGAGCAGGTCATCTGCTTCGAGTTTAATTTTTCTACATGCGTCCTCGATTTCTTCTTCACCAGTGAGAAAGAGCAGGATGTCTCCCGGGTCTTCGGCGCGGTGAATCATTAGAACAGTCCGAATGGCAGCTTCGACGTAGTCCGGCTCGGGCTCCTGAGTATAAAATATTTCTACAGGATGTGTTCGGCCAGGAACTTTGAATAAGGGTGCAGGTGAAGGCTCTTCGCCAGCTGCAGAGTCGTGGAGGGAGAAATATGATTGGAATTTAACTGCGTCAAGCGTAGCAGACATGACAATAATTTTCAAGTCTTTCCGACGTTTGGCGAGGTTTTTGAGTAAACCCATGAGAATATCCGTCGCAAGAGTTCTTTCGTGAGCTTCGTCCAAGATGATGGTGCTATACCTCGACAACTCTTTATCGTTCATCGCTTCTCTCAGCAGCATACCATCCGTCATATACTTGAGAAAAGTTGTGCCCGCCTCCGTCATATCTTCAAAACGGATTGAATATCCCACTTGCTTCCCGAGCTGAACATCCATCTCATCAGCCACACGCTGGGCAACACTCATTGCAGCTACTCGCCGAGGTTGTGTACATGCAACCAATTTTCCCTTGGTATGCGGTAAGTCCGAGTAGGTCACAAATTGCGGTATCTGTGTCGTTTTCCCGGAGCCAGTTTCTCCAACCATGACTATTATTTGATTTTTAGAGAAAATCTCAAGAAATTCGTCCATCTGGGAGTAAACCGGTAGAGCGCGTCGAGCTTCTAATATTTTTCGGTACTGAGCAGAATGCGGTTGTTTAGTGAATGAATTCAACTGGTGTTCCATTGCTTTGCGGACTTGCTCCCCTTTCACTTTACGAGGGAGAAATCCGAACAAGGGTTCCTTTTCTGATGAAGAGGAGGAATATGAAGGGCCTGCACCCCGCTTGGAAGGAGGAAGATGGGCCAAGTAGGGATTGTCGACCATCCTGATTAGTGAGTTGCAAAAAGAGTTTGCTTTCTAGAGGGGACCTGGAGGGAAAGAAGCGAAAAATATATATTACATAAGCCAAATGGTATATTTTTGCGCGCGTCTATGTAAATCCCTTGACCGGAAATATATTACCATTTCAGGTGTTCTCCCGGCTTTCCTTCAGGTTCCATAATAACTTTGAGAGCAGAAGGGACGCTGGCAATGTCTTTCCATGCACTTCCAGTCTGCAATTCGCGACTTTTTGTAAACTGTAATTGGAGCAGTCAAAGTATTATGTGAGAGACTCATTGGTCGCGCCCGAATTTCTCTTGGCATTGCCATCTCTTGCTAACTTTCCACCTACCTCACCTTTAGTATGTCTGTTAACTTGCCGTTGACATTTACTCTGACTTGATCCAACTGAGTTGTTTCCTTTCACCAAAGTCACTTGTCAACAACTCAGACTATTCATTGAACTGGGATCGCCGCTTATATTTGCATCCATGCATTTAGTTCACCCTTTGCTGCCCACTCCAACATCCACCAATTTTATACATCAACTTTGACCTTCATGCAAGCAGCTGGTTCATCTTTAGGTTGCTGAGAATTCTTACTGGATGATGGACCATTTGCAATCTCTTCACCTCACTGCAGTCATTCTGTCTGGCCTTCTCCCTCCCTCTTACTGACCTCTGTTATCTACAGTTTACCTTCTATGAGTCCTCTCTGCTTAACCTCTAGAATGACATTCAGCACCTTTACATTTTTACAACTCCTTTGTGGGATATTTATCCCTGAGGTGTTATGTGCTCTGCCTTTAACACCACTACAATTGCCATGCATGTGATGTATGATCAGATGAAGGACTGGGAGACTCAGATGTAGAAGAAAGTATTTAAAATTGTTCAATAGACATTCATTGTCAGACTCACTCTGAACTGTTTGTCATAAAGTACGCAGCCCCTATCATCTTCTTTTTCTCACCATCTCTATGCCTTTACTTGTATGATACATCATCCCCATTACTATCGTGCTCTATTGCTGTCAAACCCCTATTGATTACTGATTCACCTGACCCACCTTCTCTTTCTACTGGCTTCCGCCACCTTCCTTGCCCCTGAACTGTACAGTATTACATCGTTGTTTCTCGTAGACCGGATTATGTATATATAGCCAACCCTCCACAGCCTGGTCCCTTATCTTGACCTCTCTGTCATTATCTGGGACCAGGTATGTGCTTACTTACTATTACCTATGACTACGATACTCAATATATCTCTGTCATTATCTGGGACCAGCCTGCCTCCGTTCTGCTTAGTCGCTCTGCCTTGTTGCCCCGCTCAGTTGCTCCGCCTGGCTGCTCTGCTTAGTCACTCTGCTTTCCTGTTCCATTAGTCACTCTGCCTTTGCCACTTCGTGACACATGGTAGGTGATAGAGTAGTCCAGGGTGTGGAGGATATAACCTGCGACCCACTGGACACAGTTCCAGTGTTTATGGCTGGGGTTAAGCTGATATTTTGCTAACAGACTCCTGGCGAATGCCAGGTCTGCCCGTGTGCATACCTATGCCCAGAAGATGGAACCAACTACTGACCTGTATGGTTTGTTGGCCATGAATTGCTGCTCCCCCTCTGGCAAAGGATCTGGTGACTCCTGGAGTTTGACATTGGGCAGTAACAGGGTGATGCGCCATCGTACATTATCAAGCCCAAAGTGTGCCAGCATTTGTTCGAGGTAAGACTTCTGGGATATCGTGATTGCCTTAGTCTCTGCATGCTGTCGGATCGTCATTCCCAACAGGACCTTGGTCGTTACCTTGTTTGCCTCCCACCATCTTTCTAGACCTTTAACCACTTTGTCCCTACCACCCTTTGTGGATGAACCTCCACAGACATCGTCTCTGTAGGTGCTGGTGATGGTGTACTCAGTGCCCACATGTTTGTACCTGATACACGGGTCTGCCTTGGAGGTAGTGTAACTGTCATCCCAATAACCTGCCGCAAGTGTCTCCTGCCAGTTGTAGCTGCCCTGCATGGTCCCGTGGATAGACCTCTTTAGTTTGCATATGAGGTGTTCAGTTCCAGGCTTAATGAATCTGTCGGGCTGCTTCATGTAGACGTCATGGGTGATGGGACTATTCAAGAATGCCACCGTGAAATCAACCTGGAAGATAGATAACTTCAGTGTAGCTATGATAGCTAGTACAATTCAGACGGATTCCATTTGGGCTACTCCCCCATATGTCTTGTCATAATCCTGCCCTTGGACCTGGGTGTATCCCTGTGCCACGTATTGGGCTTTGTACTTCAGGAGGTTGCCTAATGCATCAAATTTAATTGTGTATGTCCATCTTCCACCCATTAGGCTTGCATCTGGTGGGAGCGGTACTAAATCCCAGCAGTCTTTGGCCCTGAGAGTTTTGAATTCCCATTCCATTGGCTCCATCCATAAGTCTGAATGTTTCATAGCCTGTTTGAAGGTTTGTGGCACCCATAGGTCACCTGAGATTGCTGCAAATGTGTATGGGTTTTGTGCTATTAGTGCTAGTGGTGATCTGTCTGAGGTTGACTCCATTGTCCAGTCTTCACCTCTGGTTTGTGCTACCTGTTCTCACTCTCTGTATTCTGCACTGTCTAGGCATCTGCGGGATGGTACATGTCCCCATTTGCTGTGGTGCACCGTCTGGTTGGGTGTCTTCTCCTGCATGGGTAGCTCCCCGTTAACGAGCTTGCCTCGTTTTTGTGTGAAAGAGAAAGGAAGGAATCTAATGGGCACTCCAACCAACCAATCTAATACACAATATGCGAGTTCACTGCTATCAAATTTATTTAATAGCAAGGGGTAGCGTTGGCAAAGGTTCCGCAAAGCTTTGAGAGCTAAGTACGAAGCTTCTGTCATGCCCTGACCACAACCAACCAATCCCAGCACCATCCCACATGCTTCCTTACACCTCTCCAAGACATCCGACCTCCCCAAGACAGGACCACGGGTACTACGCACCTCCCCAAGACAGGACCACGGGTAATACGCACCTCCCCAAGACTATCCTGACAACCTCCCGACACGCGTACGAAACTCCTTAGCACCAGCCCCATTAAGTACAAATCTCGATCACCTGTCTCCTTCGACTACTGCCTCATGTCCCCTAGGCTCTGATGTTCCTTTGTTCACTTCCCATACCTATTTAAGTAGCTCCGTAACGTCTCCAAGCGCCAGCTTGGTATATTTTGAACACACACCCTTTACATAGGTCCAGTCCCTGTCCCTTTGTACCTGCTACCTATACGGAATTCTCTCTACTCTCTGTTTCTCTACCTCTGTTTCTCTCTACTACTGTCTATTGTCTCTCTGATCGTCTATACGATCGAATATACACTTTTACTTCAAGTCTAAGCCTTCCGAGTGAGTCTCCGAGCTCCCTCGAACATTACTAAAGCTCCCCAATGCCTACCCGCTTGGTGAGCTACCCTTCCCCAAACCTCCCAGAGCTCCCTAGCTACTTCGTAAGCTTCGGGACCTCGATCTAGGTAACGTCGAAGCTACCCCTCACGTCGAACTACGTATTGCTCCTCCGTTACCACCTCCCACACTCGAGGACGACCATCCTCAAACCTAGCCCCCAGGGACCTACCCTCCCTGGCATATCCCTTCTCGGGAGCTTACACCCTCGAGACCCAGTTGCATAAACTACCTACTCGATCCTATATTGACGTTCCAGCGAGTACAACTCCTACTACGCAATATCGTACGGTCCCGCACTCTTCCTGAACCTCCCTACGCATTAGGGACCTCCCTGGACCTCCTAGGAACCCCTCAAGGGTCACCCTCTCGTCATTCCAACCACTACTAGGTCATTCCCGTCCTCGGTCGCGGTTCTCGTAGCTCCCTTCGAGCTCCAGCCTGCTCCTAGCACGCTACAACATAAACCTCCACACACCAAAATCTACCCTAAGACCCATTTCGACCCAGGTCTTACAGCTTCGATCAATCAATTTGAATCGTTCTAAGGATTCGATATATTCCTTTGATCAAGGTAGATTCAGCACGCTTTGTGCTTTGGTTTGTATTGATTTGGGTATATCAAGACTTGGGGTTTTGAATCAAAGTAAATTAAAACCGAAACACACAGACCCCTACAGAGGGCTAGAACTATGTGCTGGCACAACCACACAGCGTGATTTGCCCTTAAGACCAACAACTGATCCTAAGTTCGAAGAATACCCAACAACTGGATATACTTCTCGCAGTCACAAGGAGCAGAACACAACGTTCCTATACTCACAAGTGCCGGGCCCGAATGGCTGCTAGCGAAGAGGTTTCAGTCTGGCGGGAGTGTGTCTTTCCTTTTTACGGATTAGCACTGCAACGTCGTCCCAAAATCACTTGTATTCCAGATACATCGGATCGCTATTTATACATACAGAATATAGAGTCGCATAGTACAATTAATTTAAAACAATAAACGTTCGGAACCGCAAGGAAACTTCTACACTCAGTCAGATACCATTTAATTTGAATCTACATGTCCTTATTTAGTCCATATTGGTTCCAAGATTCTAGTATACCTCCAAACATGGGTAGGTACTTCAATATTCATTTAATTTAATTGTTTTTAGAGAATGACTCGAGTAGTATTCAACTGTCATTGCTGTTCAACACTTACTTCGATCGTTTGTCATCTCGTCCGGAGGCAAATCAACTCTCCTCGATTCTAATCCTATCAATCTGATTCATCTGGATTAAACTAATTGCTTCTCTCTTTCAATAGACACCCATTGTGCCTATACTCTATCAAGGGAGTTACGCATAGTATTCATTTAATTGCATTCTTCAATGTTTTCTACGTCAGGACTCTTTGACATTCATTTGATATGTCTTCGGAGCCTCGCAGTCTTTCGATCGTTCTTCTAGTCATTTTACTCAACCATGCAACTTGATTGGTCTATTAGACTAAATCACAGTCTTTTAGATTAATGCATGATCTCGTTCTAGAAGGAGTATTTGATAATTCCTGAGTTCTAGAAAGTCATTTCGAGTCAATCCTCGGCTCATGGTCACTTGAGTAAGTTCTTCCAAACTCCTG